TAACAGGCTCCATAGATGCAAGACCACTGGTAGTAGGCAGTCGACGGTGCGATCCTATTGAGTTTTTAGGGTGGTAGGGAGTGTCCTTTAGCGACCGAGTTTAGTTGAACAGTATCGATAGGTCCAGTGAGTTAACTGTCTACTTCTAGTGAAGAAATAGGGTGGAAAAAATAACTAATACAACTACAAAGTAGGAAAAATAAGGCAAACTGAACTCGAAGTCCATTTTGGTCTATACATGGAGGGAGCCTGTGATGTCTGAGTGGGGCGCAGATGTGTTCGTGCGTGCTAGATCAGTGCAAGTGAGGGCTTGATCAAGCAGTTTTACAAACGTATGTAATTCATCTGCCATACGTATTTCTGAGAGAAGACTGTCCCATATTATTGCATACTTGGTGAGGAAGAAGTTTTCCCGAGTTTTTGACCTGTATTTCTCAACCTTGACCGTAGATACTTTGTTTCGAAGTTCGTATTCATGTGAATCTTTAGCAAGAATTATTTCACATGTTGAATAAGTAAGGATTTTGAGGAGTTTGAAGTAGAGAATCAAAATTAGGCCTAAACCTTCTCTTCCAAAGGGGTTCTTTTTCTAAGATTTGACATCGCGAACTGGTGTAAATGACTGAGTCAGTCTTAAGTTTTTTGCGGGTGAAGTCTCGTTGTATTCCTTGCACCCTTGGTGTACCATATAGGCGTGGGTTGGAAAATAAGAACGAGCAATATTCAACGATAGGTCTTACACAAACTTTATAAAGAAGGATTTTAGATTCATTTTGATGGAGATTATGAAGAATGAAGCCAGGCAATTTCCGCATTTTAGATGCTTCGGCTGAGATGTGTTCAGAGAAATTAAAACTGTGTGAGCAATGTGACCCTAGGCCAGTTACTGATGCCAGTCTGGGCAGTGTGTCGTTGCTAAATATTAGTATTATTTTAAGAGACGTTTCTCCTATACATAAACAGTCTCATTTCTCTGTGTTGAGCTCTAACCTCAAGCGTTTGCACCAGTCATCTACCATTTTCAGTTTATGTTGGATTGTTTGCATAGTACTACGTACATCGAAAATGTCAGTTTTATAGATGACTTTTAAGTCAACAGCGTAGAGGTAAGTTTTACTTGTATCAAATCACTTGCATATATTGTTGATGTAAGCTATAAAAAGCAAAGGACCAAAACACTGATTTGCACAAAACCATGGGTTATTGGTCGAGGTGTAAATGTTGTAGAGTTAATCATGGTTATTGGGTAACTGTTCGTCCGAAAAGACTTGATCCATTGCAAAAGGGGATTCATAATTTTAACTGAATTGGGTCTGCTGATTAGAAGATTACGAGATACTTTATCAAAGGCTTTCTTAATACTGAACTATAGTATAACCACTAGTTTCTTCTGGTCACGTATGCGAGTAACCTATTTAAAGAAGTCTATCAGACACGACCTTGTTCTAATAAGGCCGTGTTGTGACGGGTCTATCAGATCATACTTCAGTAAGTGAGCAGAGAGTTGATTTTGTATCACTTTTTCCGTTATTGTTAATATGAATGTAAACAGTAATTGAAATTGCATGCAAACATGCATGGTTTGTGTTGTCTGTGAAATGAAAGATAAATAATTATTAGGACATAATCAAATTCATAAACAGGTTACGTAAGATCAAAATGATAAATTAAAGAGTTAAAAATATTGAAGTTCCGTGAATTTTGTAAAAGGAGAAACAGAAAGGATTAGAAACAAATAGTAGTATTTAAATACAAGGACAGGGTACATTCAGAGAGTATATAAACACGTTCAGAGTACGAACATTGAGTTTATTGATGTGTATTAGTATGTAATATACTGTATATAAGAGTCAAATTCTGAAATCGTAGGGTAGATTCGGTTGGCTTTCGCCAATAATTTCCAACATTGGAATTTCCTCTCATATGGTAACAAGTATTGACTCGATGCGTGAAGATAGGACTCCCTATCACTTTGTTTTGTCCCTTGCTCAACCTTGAGGGTAATGTTTGAAAATATGCTAGCGCGTTATGCTACACTAATCTTCATTCCTACACAAAGTACAAGGGTACCATTAATTTGTACAAACAGCATGGACCTGTAAATCGAAGGCGTTGATTGATTACTTCTTCAATTTCAGTGTAAACAACGTGTTTGTTTAATGAACAGAACATATTTCTGTTGTCCTCTTTTTTGTTTATAGAATCAGCTATGATTATACTTTGTTTATCGTTGATCACCTCATTCCATCTCAACTAATCAACTAATATGACATTCTCTATTCTGTATCGTGGGTGTAACGTCAATCTTAGAACAAAAAACACATCACTTTCTAATAATATGTTGTTTATTTGGCCGATAATCGCCTACATACAAAGATCAAAGATGAGTGAAATTCTCATTTTACATATTATTAATACTTTTCTAAAAAGAAGATGAAGTGAAAACAAATTTTCTGGTTGTCAATTAATAGATGGTCTTGCTCCAGCTATAAGTCAACACTTCAATCATTTACTATCTCAGTTGTATATTCTGTGTGTATATTCTATGATAAGGATAAGTCTTCTTTCTGATTCCTGTTTTGTCACACTTCTGGTAGATTTTACATACACTGGATGAGTTGCATAGCATAAAACATGGAGTGTGTCTCTCTTGTGATGTGAAATTAAACTACTATGGTGAAAACGACAGTGCTTGAATCCATTTATGAATCTGGGCTAGGCCACCATTAAAAACGTGGAAGCACCGAAAGGCCGTTTAGTAAGATACTCATTAATCCCAATGTTAAAATTACTACATTCTCAACGGATACCCGCTCTGACAATATTATAATGCTGTTTAAAGTTTTGTTTGGAGAAGGAAAGTCTCATATATATTCCATCATTCAATGCCATTATTAACGCTAACACTTCATTTAGAGAAAATGTGAATGATGTTAAAAACCTTCTATAACTTCGTAAATTTTCTGGTACATACATTTTGTTTTAATAATTTAAAAGATGCTTCTTTGTCGTTAACGTACAAATTCTTGGAGGTGTTAGATCCAAATTAAGGTTTGGACTGAAGAATAGCTGTCTAGGTGGGTTAGATACGTGCCTTTGCCTGAATGAAACCAAAACAATGTGATTGGGTAAAATGACGGTTCTGAAATTCATTATAGATTTAAATATACCCTATTACCTAAACAAATATGACCACCCAGCTATTCAGTCAATAATTGTTCAATAAATTAAATCTAAATTACAATAAATAAGGAAGTTGATAAAGGATGAGAGAAAATTATCAACTGCAACAAATCAATGTTATTCCATTCTGTCTGGATAGATCACGCACAGATTCATTCAAAATATACTATTTGATTGCTTTATAACATAGAGTGTTTCCAATTCTGGAAGAGTGTATCAATTCACAAAAAAAATATACACAATTCCAGTTAATACAAGCAACACAATCAAAAGGAGGAACAAACCAATGCAAACCAATATGGCTGCTGCCAAGACTTAGTATCAAGTAAACACAACATAAATGCAGTTCAGGAAGAAACATGGAAACTTAGTGAAGGCGTAAAAAATATAAAAACTATAGTAAAATACAAATATGACCAACTCAAATGGAACCAAAAAGAATAACAAAATATACAACTAAAGAAACACCAATAAGCACAAACTACAAATGTATACATGGAGGGATTTTCACACACACACACACACACACAAACCTTCAAAATGGATCTTATAAGAGGTAATATTCCATCCAAAACATCAGTGACAGATGTTGTGTAACAGAATTATTTTTTTGAAAATCAACGTTAGATAAAGAGAAGAGTTAAAAGCAAAAGTAATCGGTTTAAAAACGTTTATTTAAACTGGAAGGATAACGGCTGTGATACTTTACAAAACTAGTGATTTCACACTAGAATAGTTTCTCATCAATCCATGAGAATACGATCGATTATTAGCCACGTTTTGTTTAATAAGGTGATAAGTCATTGACGCAAACACTTCAGTGTTCTCTTTATTCCAAATCTCTCATTTTATTACCAATGTAACGGCAGAACTGTCACTAGTTCATCATTCACTCTACATCTTTTTTCATTCCTACTTGAGTATCAGGCTAGACCCTCTAAAATTATTTTATATTCAACATATTCATAACACCTAATTAACAACAGTCTGTCAACCAGCTTTCACTCAACAATGAATAGTCAAATAACGAATGATTGATGTGCCTTGGTAAATATTGATGCCGCATTCAGACAGTTTAGTTTAAAACAATGAACGACGTCGATTTCAAATGATATTTCTCAGTATTGAGACTTTAACAAAATGGACAATTACAACGGACTCATTTTTGATTTCAATGGTCACAGAATCATGTATACATGATACTGTGATGGACCAAACAGATATGAATGCAAAAAGTATAAACGAAGTTATTAAAAATCAATAGTAATATTAATATATATAATTAATTGTTACAAATACAATAAAAATCAGGGACGTTACTTAAATTGATCAGACGTTGCGTGTTATGATTAGGTTCAGTAAAGTAAATCCACAATTATAAATGTTTGTTGATTCTGAGCAGGTTGGCGAACTCTCTAGTGATATAGTCCAACATAGGATGTGATATATTCCGATTACAGTCTATAAATGAAGATAGTATTTGAGTTAGACTTCAGTTAGCTCAATCACAAATGAAAATAGAACGAGGAGTGTGTGAGAAGCATTGTATTTGTTAGCCAGCAGCGGTATGTCACGCTATGTAGTAGCACAACGGAAAGTGTATTCAAAGTCATTTTCTAAAACAACAGTTATAGTCATTTAATGTTAAATATACATACAGAGGAAGGTTGACAAAATAAATACAAATAACATTGAAAACTATTTACAAAATAAGCTTGTCGGGTCCATCTCCACAATACTGTTAATTGACAAGTGTAATGTTGTAACCTCTTGTGAAATCACCCATGTTTTATTGAATGAAAACAATCAAATAAATACAAAAAAATTATATATTTATATTCTACCTACAAAGTGACATCAGTCATTACATAAACAATCATCAATGTGATATGCAATTCCATGAAACAATCTTCAATTTATTGAAATGAATAACAAAATAGAAAGTGTATTTAATAAAATACGAAAATGAAAATAACGAAGTCATTTTGATGAAAACAATTGTGAAGCTATTTGTGAGAACCATTGATAAACTCTGTTCCTTCTGTAGAACCATAGCCAAATGCCACAGCCAATGCATAAAATAAGGAAAGATATAACTAATGGTACAACGATATACACATATTGCGATGATTTTCTTTCCTCAATGTCTTCAGTTGTATCTGTAGTCATAATCTGAAATGAACGAAATAGTATAATGATTAAAAAAAATATCAAATATTTACCAAGTGTGATTCAATGCTTGAACTAGTTTTCTTCAAATCATTTCTTAGATCAATTTCAGTAGTTGCTAGGGTTGTTGGTTCAGTGGAAACCTTGACAATGGAGCTCTTCAGAAGAAAGAAACAGTGGCAAAATAATTAATTGCCAAATATTTCATCATTCATTATACACTATTGTCAGTATTGATGACACAAGTGAATTCAACAATTAGTTACATAATTTACATTTGCACAATGTGATCAATGAATAATGATTTAGAGAAATTTGCTACTGATTTGACGGTCAATGTGATGAGTACACATTATCCTACAATTAACTGACAACTTAATTGTGTAATGAAATTTGTTTCCCGGATGGTTCACCTTATCTCAATGTAAATAATCAATAACAAACCAATAGCTGATGGCTTTATTGAAGCAATCTATCCAGAATACAAATTTCACAACAGGGTAACACGAATATCTGTTCTGAAATTCAACAATGGAAGTCCACGAACTTTCAATTTCCAAACATGATGCAGAATGTATGACAGATTATGCTTCATCATTCAAAATGACCTCATCGGCATTTTTAACAATTCACACATACAGACGGTTTCATATTGGACATCGAGAATCACTACACATTCTATGAGCAGAAGAATTAACATTTTTTCATGCATAGGTGTCAAATGAGTCTTCTATTGATTGTTGAATGTCCACATGGAAACATGGCATCGTACTCATATCTGAATAAACATCATCAACATATACAATACACTATATGTTTGCAGCAAGAAAATGTTCTTCCGAGTAAATAGATTTACAATGTAGAATATAATATATAATATTGAAAACAATCTGTGAAGTCTATCAATTACTTACTTCACCCTTGCAACCATTTACTTTGAATTCATGAATACCCTTATCATTACTAGTAGTGCACATATTGACTTTTTCACATCAAACACACGTTGTATTCGATGTTGTTGCGTCATGACATGTTTTACTCGAATTGTGTTTTGGACAAACTTCAGTGGAAAGAATGAGGTGATATCATAATAATTTGTCAAATAAAAGATAAGTGAATTACAATACATATAAATATAACTCGATGATCTAATGATGATTTAGAAATAACGCGACTATGTCATTCACTAGGAATTTGCCATCACCTCACGCAATGCAAAACTCAGCACACTTTCATTGACATTTACATTTCACGACAACACTTTGGCTTTGAATTAAAATACATCCATAATGAATAACATTTTATTCAACGAATAATAAAGTCGATCTAAACATTACACTATGGAATGATTCTCTCAGTTGTCGATATGGTATTTTCATAACCTACCACATGATAAAGTGAAAAGTGTGAGTGATTACTCAGTGTACATACTCATGAGAACGAGAACTGGTTCACATTATGTCATTCACATTTCACGACAACAACTTGAAACTAAGTTGAATGTTCAACGGTGAGTATTAACGTGGGGATTTGGTAGATTTTGATGACTGTTCGCATTCAGAAATTTATACACTATGCTGTCACCGGGTTCAGCAAAGCCCACTGCATTTGATTTCTAATAGATTTGAAGTTTCATTCATTGATATCAGTGTGATGATGATAAATAACATTGTAAACTCACTCACATTGACTATTTTGAAATCCGTGCAAGAAAGTCAGTTGTCCCCAGACAACAAATTCACTTATAATTATGTTAATTCGATCGAAAAACAAAGAAGTGGCATTGTTTATCAATTTGTCGCTGATGTTTTTCTGGAAGAGATTTCAGTCGATCTATCGTTATGGAATGTTTCAAACTATGTGATCACATTACACTATGTGTGCTGTCGGCTAGCACGTCACACTAGTTGGATCATGAACATTCATCGATAGTAAATTATATTTTATCCAACGAATATTGCAATCAATCTGAACATTAGATTATGGAATGATTTTTCTCAGTCACAGTGATGTTACTTCAATACTCCAACACATGACAAACTGAAGAGTGTTTGTGATTAATCACTGTACATATCAGTGAGAAAGGAAACACTTACTTAACATGAAAATCTTCAGTATCTTTGATACTGTACAAGTATTTACTGTCTATGGTATAGCCAAATGTGAACACACGACTTGTGTACACGTCCAATTTATCGGATGAACAATATGAAGTATAGATTTTGGAAAATAAGCGATTGTTTCCAAGTGAATTACAATTTCAAGAAATGCTTCCGCGGTTTTAAGAACTCAGGAAAGTTCAATATCACATGTAGCAAGTTGAAAAACTATGAACACTTCCAAGTCAATGCACAATCAACTAACTGACATATATTATCTCATCTATTGTTTTGTAACATTATGTACGCTTAAGTGAATTTCATCAACATGAGGACGTGAAGGCCATCCATCCTTCATCATTTTAAATAATCAACAGACGATCCATGTATACAATAGCGTGATTTGATACTAGTAGCTAAATGTCATTTAATTATTTACTGAAATTGCACATGATATTTTCAATTTTTTGAAACAAAATTGATGCATTCAACTATGAAAATAGTCAGTTCTGATACAACAAGGTTTAACATACCCCCGAGAGCTTCATACTCCACTAACGTTCCACTTTGGATCCATTTTCCGGGAACACTTATTACAATTGTTTCTTCATCTTGTGAAATAAATATTAGAGAATAAAACAACTGAGATTTTGTTTAACGAGCGACTGTTAAGAAATGGGAAAGACTTCTCTGAATATCCATGATGAAGATATTCACACACTATAGTTATATTACTCAGTATACCAGGTTAGACATACGTCAGCAGACGTGGATCGGGAAATTCACTGTTTACGCAATTCAGCATATAAAACCGAAACAGCATCAATACGATTTCATCAGAACAACGTAAATCATTTTTGTGACACTAATAAGGATGACTGTTGTTCAAATGAAGACACAGATGAATTCAGTAGTTCACCGATCAAAAGACTTAATCAAAACACGCGGTTTTTCAGGACTAGTTTGCACCTTGATTTATTATCACATATGATACTAAAACTTTGCTTCAAGATGTGAAAATACATCATCCACGTTGAATTTTCAATAAACAATAGTGTTTGAACAATGAGTTTACCAGAAGCATTCAGATTTTTATCTCACACGTTTTTCATCAACACTTCAGTGACACTTCGACCAATCTGTTTTCACACGGTACTTCTGAATAATGTAGACTGTAAGAAAGATATATTCGATCGCTATGACAGAGTACAGCAAATTTCTGAATTGACTTGTTGTTCGAAGGCTACACAAAGAAGTTATTATTAGGTCAACACATGACTGCTTGTGTAGGTCGGTGTAAATCAGAATGTAAATAACATTTGTTACCATTTTCTCCGCAGTGAATGATTCCATAAATTTTCGATTCCTTGTGGTTTTCGTCAATTACCTTAGGAATCTGAAAAGAAGTAACGGAAGTCTGAGTAAGCATCAATCAACACACAACCACCTTTATCAAAGCCAACCAATCACTGAAGGAATGTGTCGTCATTCACACCACTTTACACAAAGACAACTAGTTACACAGTAAGCATACTGATCTACTCAACTGACTCAGGAGTGTGCCTCATCTAGTCGACATGGATTATTTGACTCACTTCAGTTGTCAACTTCACTGAAATCCAATGAACGATCTACCTATCATGCAATGATGCGCTACACTGTGCCATGAATATCTACGTCACTTGACGGAAATGTGATTGTGAATAACTGCAATGCTGCTGCACGTGAATTCGTTGTCATGTGGAGGAATTTTGTTGACGTACTCACTTTCATCCATCACAGCATATACAATTCCTGATTACCTCGAAGCTATCAAAATCGATTAAGTTCAACACAAATGAAATCTTTCATCTTATCTGCCCTTTCTAGTTTCCTCACATCTATTGTGATTCAAATTGGTGAAGTACTAAATGTTGACATTCGAACAAGTACACACTAAGAGATGATCAAGGTTTAACAATTTATCTCGCAGATTATTTGACAATGAAATTTTCAATTAGCTAAACTTCAGAAGACGTAGTAAAGCTTGACAGAAAATGACTGTGTTAGGAAGTACTATAAAGTACGCTGTTTGTTCTTAATCGGCTCAAAGACGTCAAAATTTCTATTGATAACATTTGTCCTCCTATAATTTATTATTTTAAGAAAAAAGTGCTAGAATGAAGTGTTTCATTACAGAATTATTTATAGAGTCGTATAGTCTGTGTGCACTTTAAAAAAATGTTGATATCCTTCTATCGTGTTCAATGTATCTTAATGCATTTGACAGTGTTGATTTGTGCAAAGTAAGATAATAATCCAAAATACATCAAACTACACTACATTACTATTCAATTGTGCAACTTACTTTCTCAAAATAGATTGATATCTTCCCATTCGGATGTATCAGAGTAGTTATATTGAATGCAGGAGCTGCAAGCAAAAGGCTATCGTTATTTAGAATTTAAGATATTAGTGATTAGCATGTCATTGTTGGATGCGAAAGTGTATGTACCTACGCGCAAAGTGATCAGTTTTAGGCAGGTATTTTCTTCGTTATCTTAAATGTTTTCTTTGGTAGAATTCGTAATAAATATAATCTAGTGAACGTCGTGTAAATGAAGCAAGCATGCATCCTACAATACAAATGTCAGATAACTACGTTCCGAAGCCGTATTACAACCCCATTTTCATATCGAAATAATAAATCATCAAGATTCCAATTAAATCTAATAGTTGAGGAGGTATTGACATTTGCTGAACACTCTCTATAATTACCCCTGAAAGTACCGACCCTTCATACACATGACATTAGCTATGGTTTGTTTGTTTGCAAATAGAACATGGTAACTTAGTCGGTTATGCAAGTCATTGGTTTATCAGTGTTCGGTAACGATGGAAAATGAATAGCTTCACACTATTCGTCTTTATGATTTCTTAATTTGAATGAATAAGTTTTATGAATGACCGTGTGATGAGTAACACAAATTTACTTATTTCAGAATACAGACTTCTGATCAAGCAGCATTGAAGCCTGTTGACGAAGATGGATCTCTACATTCGTTTATCCACAAGTAAAATGATCTTATGACCTAATTTGTTCATACGGATCTATTTATTGCACATCAAATCTAGTATGCTCCTGTTTATGTTAATTGTCTTTCAGGTCTCAATCAATGTGTTCAAACAATTGATGAATTCCACATACATAATTCCCTCTTTCTAATTTTCTGGAATTTCTTTTACGCCTGTTACTCCTAATGGAGCATAGGCCGCCGACCAGCATTCTCCAGCACAGTTGCTGAAATCGCCTTTCTTCGGTATTTTGATCAGAAGTCCTTGTTTCCAGTCTGTTGGTACTTGTTCCTCATCACAAATCTCATTGAAGAGAATGTTGAGTATCCTTGTAGTTGCCGCTACGTCTGCTCTCAGTGCCTGTGCTGGAATGTTGCCTGGTCCTACTGCTTTAATTTTCTGGAATGGTTACACTTTATTACTTTTGTCAGTTTTTGAAAAGAATTCAGTGATATAAAATGAACAGAAAATGTGTAAACAAGTACTGCGTATGATGGTGTAAGTGTTTAAATATTTCATGTGTAATCAAATAATCATTTTATGGATACATACTTTTACCATCAGCTTCTGGAGAAGTGGATTGTCTGACGGCTGATAATTCTCTTGAAATGATGAAAGTAAAAATATTTGTGTTTTTATATATATGTATAATGAATATCCATAGAGAATGAGTTTGGACACGAGTTATCATCTTCCTTCCAAGATTCAATTAAGCGTTTCGATTAAATGGGAGTCGCAAGGAGACTCATAATTATTTCAACGATATGATGAATGCTTCAAACCAACCAACTGAGAATAATATTTTACTTCCGAAACGTTTATTTTAAAAGCTTTAGACAATTTAATAGATCTAGTTGTTCCGGGTCGAATCAATCATGTTATACCAGTGCATTGTTCATGTTAATTTTTTATCATCTGTCACTATTATTATTATTATTATTATTAATGACTGTTTTAGATCCATATGAATATGATAGTCAAAAATGTGATGAATACACACAGTGGTCCACAGATAGTGACTAAGAGACATTCATTCTTTATGAAGTAAATTGAAGAAAACATTTGGACGTTATCGAATATAATTTGGTAGTCCATGGAATTTAATAATCCAAGATGGTTTCTCACACAACACTGTTTATTGTTGTAAATGTGTTCAGTTGAATTTGTTCGATTTATTATTTCTACTTAATCAATTTGCGTTTATTTCGAAGTGAACTATCGTTTTCACTTGACAGTAATGAATAGGTGTTGTGAACACATTTTAGAGCATCAAATCCTACAAGCAAATTAATCACTGTATACTGGTCAGCCCTCATGAATTAACCAAGTCAAATATTGAATCATTTGTGCAAAATAAAATTGAGAAATGAAAGGTAAAATTAAATTATCCCCGGATAATAGAGGTACTCACGCCCATCCGAAATTTCACATTTTGCCAAAAAATCGCTTCCTGTATAATTTCTAATTTCTCCTAATTGATCCTGATCAAACATATAAATTGTACCTGTGTTTATCGAATGAAAACATGAAATTTAATTGACAATCTGTAGAGAATGAATTAAAGACTTTTTAGATTAACTGGAGACAAAGTGAGTTTCATGGACCGTAATACAATTTCTGTAAGACTTTAAACTGTTTACAACGTGAACGAAATAAGATATCAGTAGTTGTATTGAATGCTAGAAAGGGCATAAAACTGATTTACTGAAGAAATTAAAACAACATTAGTCCACGGAATGAAATGTGAATAAATAAAACTCGGTAACAATTTTAGTTCGATGAAAATGATTCTCTTACCAGAAGTGCGTAATTGGAATTTATTGACTGTAGCACCGTAAAACGTAAACAAAAATTTCGCCTCAGTTTCCTAATTACATGCAAACAGATGGATCAGTACCTCGATTGCAAAATACAGTCAACTTACTTTATCAGCATCCAACGTTTCAAACCTGCCGCGAACAACTGGAAGAGTCTGATTAGAGCGGATTGTTAGGGAATAGTGATAGTGATGAGACTGAATATGTGTATTGGAAGCTGACTGATTACTTACGTATTCATATGCATCACTTTCAAAAATTACTTCTTCGTAATACCGTAATAGACGTTTTGTGCAAATTTCATGGCAGTCGAAGAATTTATAAATTAATACGATGATCGAATAGATCAGTATAAACTGGCCAGTTGTAAAGCTATGTCTGGAATGGTTCAGATAAAAATAGACAGCCTTATTTCATTGAAACAAATTGAAGTTCATATAACACACTCATTTGCTTTGACTGTACAGTCAACACTCACCTCATCTTCTTGTTCACAACGTTAATGATTGCTATAGACATTGTCGTGTTTATATCAGTTTTCAAGTGTTTCTTTCTTTCTTTCTTATTCGACGATCCAAAGTGACCATTAGAATCATCACGTTTCATAAAATCATACGATCATTGTTAACCAATCATGGTGGAATACGAACTCATCGTAATGCAATATACTTCTAACTGTTGTACTATAAAGGCTGACACTTATCCACTGTTGGTTGAAATTCCAAGGCCTCTATTGGTCAAAATTATATTGGATATGATTAGTAATAGTTTAAACTATGTGAGGGGTTTTTAATGTAGATCAAAATGTGTGCTCATATTTTCACGAACAAACATTTTGTTACTTGTCATGATTTGTGAACTGTTTACCAATGGTGCATTGCCTTGATTTGATAGGTTAAAATCAAAGTAACAAAACCTGTCTTGATGAGATATCTAACTTTTTATTTTTACATCTGAATTTAAAGAAATCAATCCTGTCAGACAACTCCATCATCGTTGAATATGGGATTGTAACTTCCGAACAGTCACAAAAGGCCCATTTGACCAGCACATTGTGCCGTTGGCTCTATATAGATTTAGCGATCAAAATAGGCAAAACGTTTCTTATTAGTCAGGTAGAAGTGGACCTGAATGTGTTTACACTAAACGTAATGAGTCAATTACTGTTGAATGATTAACAGTCTACACTTTGGTGAATGAATCATAATTTCAGCGGAAGAAGCCCAAACTATTCATGATTTGGTTATAATTGCAAAATATGATTCTTGGCAGTATGATGGTGAATTTTCCGCTCCAAAAAGATGTCGACAGTAACCAAAATATTGCTTCCACGAGTATCATATTCTGTGGTCAAATAAACGGTTGTTGGGTAATTTTGCAAAATCATGAACAGAATTGTTTTCAATCATACATAAAATTGTCTCACTAATGTCTGTCCTATTATCAAATTATTATTATTCATTATCATTACATGTAGTCGCAGTATTTTTAGGTGATTATGTAGCATATTCACTAGGACTTAGTAAAAGTTCACTTGGGTGTTTGTTCACTTCATCGTATCCACAGAAGCAATAGTCATTGGAATTGTAAGCTATTCCCATCAAATCACTGTCAATTTTTCGCAAGACAATTCTACATTAATGTCAATGGAAACATAAAGTTCTCCATATGAACATGTTAAGTAGATATTTCAAAGCTCTTAAAATTTATTCAGTATTATGTAGCTTATTTATTGTTAGTTTTTCATGAGGCTATTCTGCGTTGGTATCACGGAACCTAATGTTTTTAATATATGAGGCAGTCCAGAGACTGGAAAGACGCTATAATAAGTCCGGTGTATAAAGCTGGAAGTATGGATTTAGTTATTAACTATAGACCCGTTAGCTAAACTAGTGCGGTTGGAAAACTGATGGAAAAAATCATTTGGATAGCTGTTATAAACTATGATGTAGGACAAAATCTTTTCTCCGAGGAACAACATGGTTTTCGGAGAGGCTTATCATGCTTGATAAATCTTCTCATTGCAAGAGAAGATTGGGCTGCTGCAAAAGATCGAAATATTCCTGTAGATGTGATCTTCATAGATCTAAGTAAGGCTTTCGATAAAGTCTCCCACTCTGGTCTTAAATTCAAACTGGAATGTTTTGAAATCCATTATACAGTCGTCGACTGGATAAGTTACTTTCTCCATGACAAGAGACAAAGGGTAAGGGTTAATGTGGCTCTCTCCCCGTGGGTGCCTGTAAAACTTGGAGTTCACCAAGTTACAATCCTCGATCCTATTCCCTTTTTCCTTTATGTAAATGAATTACTAACTGTAGCAAAATCATCCGTTCTACTCTTCGCCGATGACATAAAAATTTGGAGACCCATACATAGTATGTCGGAAAGAATAGTATTACAGAATGATCTTAGCTCATTGGTAGCATGGTTGGACAAGTGATCACTAGAAGTAAATCCTAATAATAGTGTGGTGATGCAATCAAATAACTATGATGAATCGTATCACTATACAATATGTGGATTCGTGCTACCCAAAGTAAGAAACTATAAAAATTTAGGAGTCATATTATGCAATGATCTCAAAACCACTAGTCACTGCAAGGCTGCTGCTGCGAATGGCTATAGGGTATTATGGTCTATTCGTAGGTTTTTCCAGTATTTAGATGATGAAATGTTTAGATTATGTGCGACCACACTTAGAGTACGGGATTCAAGAAGTAATTCCTTGTTTCAAGTATGAAGCAGATATGCTGGAAAGAGTCCAATGACGAGGTACTAAGATGGTACAAGGTCTATCTGGCCTATCTTATGAAGACAGACTGAGACACCTCAACTTATTTCCGTTATCTTACTGTAGAATACGGGATGATCTAATATTGGCTTACCGTACACTGAACGATGACCTTGGTATGATCATGACTTATCTTTTGCTTCCGTCTAGAACCGATCATTTGAAAGGACATCCGAAGAAAGTTCAAAAACCAAGATCAACTCGTTTACGTCTGGATTTCCGTTTCTCGCACCGAGTAGTGAATTACTGGAATTCTCTACCGAAACACGTAATGTCAGCACCTTCTGCGCTGTCGCAAGACATCTCCTTGACACAGGACACAAAGTTGATATACTGAAGTCCTTCAAGCTGATCAACAAACAATCAAATTCAAACCTTTTGAAATTCGCCGAAGCAATAGCAATCAAACGTTTAAAACCAGATCTTTGTATACAAAAAGAAACAGTAATAAATCTCTCTTTGCCCTGGTAACATTCACCCTATCCCCCTTTTACTTTTATTTTTTTATATTTTTATTACGTCATTCTAACTCTTTCTGAATTTTGTAATTACATCATTCATAACTGACCAATTTCAATTCATATCTCTCTTTATTAACATTAATCTATTTTCAGTTATTTCATTACATAATCGTCTAATGTGTTTTAATTCCATGATTTCTAATCACTATCTCAATTTTCTGGAACTTTCCCTCCCAAACTCTATATATTCGAAACAAAAACTTTTATGACCTCACTAACTCTAACGAAATCTTTGCTACATTATGTTGCACATATTCATCCTTCATCATCCTCTTGTATAAGTATGTCAATATTTATAATAACTTTGAATTTCAAATATTTTAGGTTGTAAGCAGCAGATGAGAACCTAACGAAATAAAATGAATTCATATTATTCTGCAACAATCTTTGTTCTTGCTCTTTTTAAAATAATCAAGGGAACTATGTGTATAAAATCAACAGTGTTAGACGGTCAGAACAAGCGTTATGAGAACAAATGATTTAATTTGTTTATCATGGGAAGGGTTTTTGTTAAGATTTAGACTATACAATCTTAAAAAAGGAATTAAAATATGCTACGGATCTACCAGGAATCTTCAGACATTGGGTGGCTATTTAATTTTGCCTTTATATTATCAACTAATGCTTGAATGTGACCTCATGAAACTTTTAAGTTTCACAAAAATAATATCAACAATCTTCCATATTTTAGTGAAGTTGGATCCCAACTAAAGACGAGAATCAGGACACACATTCCGTCTTATTTGAGGCTCGCCAGATGGATTTATCTGGATCCTAGTTTTGAAGATCACAAGGAGATTTAACCCATTTCCTGTCATATCAAAGGTCAGTGTGCTTTTCACTCCGACTCTGAATACGAGTAGTCATTAACTTATATAACGGGTATCAAATTACAAACCCTTACAAATAGTCTCTGTTAGGCGTATAAATTCAGTTTGCGATATAGTGCAGCAGTCACTTAAATTAATCAGTGGGAATCCGTAGCAATATGATTTAACGTGGTTTATCAAACTCAAAACAGGACTAGCTAAATATGAGTTATAGTTCTAAGTTCCAAGATTTCTGTGTTGAATGTTTCTTCAACTAATATATATGAATCCGATTTAACCTTATTTCGCCTTGATAATCTGTTCTTATTAATCATTTCCTGAAAGAAATCAGAGCTAGGTTGTCTGACGAAAAGTCAGAACAGTTTTTTGTAGAAAACTGTTGCATTCTATGAACTACTGTATTAAAATTTTATATCTGATGCTTTTACCTATTCGACGAATCATTTTTGTATGGCTATTTCTTTAAACATTGACATATATACAGACAAAGTTGAAGATTTCCGTTTTGAACATAATTGTTACCTACACTGATTCATATTGAGAAGTTATTTTTATCTTCATATTTAATAGACAGTAAGAACAACAGTTCGAGCAGAATAAAATGAATTCGCTTTATTTCTTTTAGTGATTTTCGTTTAGTTTCTTAGGTTTGTATTCATCCTTACCACATTTACTGCTAAGTATTCAAACTAACTCTCAAAATGAACTCATTTACGAAAGTAATCTCAATATATTTATAATTAGGATATTTTTTTGAATTTTAGAGATTGTAATCGACTGATGGGACCTCAAAGAAATAAGTTAACTCATGTCAAGTAGAGACAAGTATCTTCTTCAGTACAATGAAAGATAGTCGAGCAATTTCATGAATCGGTTGAGATTAAACATTAACACCAGTGGATGCTGGCTCAGTGGTCTCAATAATTAAGCATCCGCGTGCGAGACTAAATGTCCTCGGGTCG